TTTATCTCTGCGGAAAAAAACTTTCCATATTTATCCAGATGATACTTAAACCTGTAACATTGAGAAGCAGGGCCCTTTTCATTGAGTTTAAAGTGTCCTTTACACAGCAGGTGCCACATCAAGCTGAAGCCATCTGTCTCTTAGTGATGGTGACGACCCCTGCCTTCTGAAGTGAACTGAACCCTCAATCAAAGCACAGAGGGGTGTTTGACAGTGTGGATTTAATGATGCTCTAAATGGGAGGAAAGGCTTTCAGTCCTTTATGTGCCTGCTGGGTTATTTGATGCCAAAGACCCATCCTGTAATAACACAGTGTGTTATGAGTCAGGAGCCACATATGGAAAGTAAAGACTTTAGGTAAAACTGGTGGGCTGCTAGACAAATGGCCTGGACACTCTGTCATAAAGCCTACTAGAAAGAATATTAAATCAGAGTGTGATTATGCTTTGCTGGAGGAAGATACTATATGGAGAGGCCTGCACTGATGATGATAAATACTCTTTGCTTAGGCCATATAATCATGCCCCTCTAATTCCTGACTATTTGCAGCAAATTATTTTTCCAGAGTCTCTCCTCTTTTGGGAATTTTTCACATGCGATAAATTTAATCGAATAATCAACACTGTTTGACGTGCAACAGAAATCTAAGAGCCACTTACCAGAAATCTGTCAAGACCACTATAGTCAAAACAAGGCTGACATTTCTATCTGCGATAATTTGTATCTGGTGGTACGGCCCAGTGGTGGGTTGAAAAGCAGCTTGCAGATGAGCAGCAACTGTGGGCAGATTGAAGCACTGTAAATTCACTCCTGCATCTAAATCAGATGTTAATTCAGATGTGCCAATCATCTCCATGGCCACAGGTGTATAAAATGCAGACTGCTTCTACAAACATTTTTGAAAGAATGGCTCGCTCTCAGGAGTGGTATTATAATAAGATGCTACCTGTGCAAAAGTCCAGTTTTGAATTTCCTTACTACTAAATTTTCCATGTTCAACTGTTAGTGGTAAGTCGTGATAGAGTGGGGTCAGCAGATCCTGAGGCTTTCTGCAGAGTCATTAGCTACATACAGGTGTTCAATTAAATATGTGTGCACTGCTTCTCATGGACTTTTTATTTTGTTCTCCATTTAAATGATAAAACAACTTGAGAGATGTTGACAGCATTGTAGTGATAATTAACATGTTTACCAAAAATGCTGTATTAACTTTAAAACAATATTTGAGATGCTGCCTTTCTTTGAACAGTCTGGAGTGCAGAAGTGTACTGTGAGAATAATTAACCTTCTTTCTGTTCTCTCACGTCTTTATCTCAGCAAACAGTAAACATTTAACCTCTTTTGAGTTCCCATTCGCTCTAACTTCTTTCATTCTGTCATCACTGTGTCTGGAAATCGCCTGAATGTTATGATACCAGGAGCTGTGCTTTTGGGGGAGTGTTGCATCTGACTATTACGCTTTTAGTTCTTCGTAAATTTAGAGCTTTTTTTTCCTGCTTTAATCCGAGGCTGCATTAGTCTGCCTATAGATTTCCTAGTAGTCTTTATATTTGGGTTGCAGAAATGCAATCCCCTCTCTTTGAGCAAGGCGTTACATTTCTCTCAGCTCCAGGGCTGCTGTTATGCTGCTGACCTCTGACCTGCTTGCAAAAGCAGCTGCAGGGATTAAATTGAGTCTGACAGTTTATATTGGCCTATTATAGTGGGGGTCACTCTATAACCGTAAAGTCCAACATTTAAATCCTACATAACATCCTTTTGCTGTGGAGGGGCGAATGAGCCAAGCACTGAATGTAAAGTGTAATGCAAACGGCCTCACTGAGGGCCAGCTGTGCTCAGCAGACAGCGAGTCCTGACACTTCAGGCTCCATACATCCTCTCTCCCGCCATGTTTTTCACTGGACTTTGCTATTTTGAAATGTTGACTGGTGTAATGGAAGCTAATGGGACAAAACTAAATGTTGACTTAGGGTGAGCTGTGCAGTGGAGCGTTAAAACTGATTAAGCTGATAGGGCTTCTTCGTGTGGGGGAGTGCTCGTTGCAGCACGTTGCTCGTTCGGGGGTTAATGCCGTCATCCATGCGTGAAGGCACAAGTGGGCAGCCCCAAGAAGAGCTGGCTTCTCTTCCGTTTGCCAAGTAGAATTTAGGTTTTCCTCTTTAGGCATCTAATGGAGATAACAGCTTGTTATTCAGAGGGCTACACTTGCACGGCCACAGTTACGTTGCCGCTGATCAGTGCTCATTAAAGCCGTCCCATTGTGCTCTGTCTGCCAGCTACAAATCTTTTCTTTAAAAAAGCTGGCAAAATGTTGCTAATGTAGCTCATTTTAAAGTATTTTTTTTCCTGGGCAGTGTTTTTCCTGAGCATTTATAGCTTCTCACATTTGTCTTAGCAAAAATGTGACATTTTGGGTTATTATATCACCATTATGTTCACAGCACCTTTTCAGGACTTATACATTATGTTTACTGTTTGACATAAGCCAAAAAGACATGAAGTGTCATGATGATACAGAACCCAAGTTAATTAGCTGGATTTCAAAAGCATTAAAAGTCATGTCAGACATTAAAATCAAGTTATGGTTTAGAAACACAGAGGACACCTTGTTCTTATTATTTGTGTCCTTAAATTGTGTTGTTTTGTTTTGCTATCAGTTATGTCAGTCCATGACAACTAATGTCAAAAGTCTGTTTGTATCCATACAGGTACAGTGTACCCAGTGTTAAAAAGGTAAATATATTCCCAAGAAGTTAAAAGGTGTTTCTTGGTTTAAATAATTGCAGTTTGAGGAGACAGTCTGTTTGGGGTCTAGTAAACAAACAAGTTAGCATATTGATTTAACTCTTAGACTTGATAAAAAGCATTTGGGCAAAATTCAGGAAGAAGGTTTTAGGTTCAGTCTTTGCTTTGCTGTCCGCTTGTCTGAGGCAGATATGAGAGAAAGAAGATTCAAGGGTTCAGTAAGAACAAGCAAGTATTTTACAAATGCCTCCCTGTTTCAACTTATTAAATAATAATATTTCAAAAAAAATAGTCATTCTTTATTAACTTTATACTAAAAAATATTGCCAGGAATCAGAAGTGGTACTTGAATCAAAAGCACATGGGTACAAATTAGCACCCATTGTCGAATGGCAATACCTTAGACTACTGTTTAAGCTGTAGTACCTCTTCATGCCTCTTCTTCATCTGAGACAAAAATGTATGAATAACAAAGATGAAAATTTGACTGTGAGGCCGGTTCAGGTTAGTAGTTAGCCCACAAGCTACCAGTGGTTTGAGAGTTAAGCCTAACATAATGGGCCCATTTTAATAAACCATAAAATCCTCCATAGTGTTTTAGATTCTCCTGAAGTAAGAGAGTGAATTCATGCAAGTCAGAGTGTGCTTTTCCCCTGAACAATCACAAGCTTTTTCATTTCGCAACCACTGGAAATGATTTCATATTTCTGACAGCTTAGTTAGATAGTTCAGATCTGCTTCTTACGTTTATGAGTCTCAGTTAGAAGATAATTTGATATGTGGTTATGTATTTATTTTGTTTTGTTGTTTGAGTTTTACACTTACTTTTATTTATTTTTTTCCAAACGTTTAAAGCTGTTACACACACAAAAAAGTTGACCTGGTGTTTCAATCTTTTACTCAAGTCACTGTGATTGCTTTTGCTTTGTATTTGTTTCTTCAAAATATGAAATTAAAGCTGTATCATACATTGTTAGTTTTTTTCAGTCATACTTCTTTCTCTGAAATTTGAGGTTAACTTAGTGTAAGAAAGTCTAAGGAGCTTGGAAAGGAAAGCGTCTGGTTTTCTTTAAGTTTCCTTGAAGACATTTCACCTCTCATCCGAAAAGCTTCTTCGGTTCTAAGAGTAATTGGTGGAGAGTTTGAGATCCCTCCCAGATGCCTTACTGCCCACTCACATCCCGGGCCATATGACCTCAGTAAATCACATGATAGGGTGGGGCTAGGTTTCACAATGGGTTATCTGAAACTTTGGCTAGTTGTAACCCACACCTGTTTTCACACTTTAGCCCGTTTGATTAGGTAGAGGATCAATAGGGGGTCCATGACCCTCTTGCGGACACTCCCATAGGGCTTAAAATCTGGGACTCTCCACCAATTGCTCTTAGAACTGAAGAAGCTTCTCGGATCGGAGGTGAAACGTCTTCAAGGAAACTTGAAGAAGTCCAGACGCTTTTCTTTCCAAGCGCCTTAGACTCCGATGACCTGGATGACTGAGAACCTTCACAGACTTAGTGTAAGAAAGTATTTATAGTAATTTTATGCAGCTTATCTGCGTGAAGAGCCAAATATGGAAAGTAAAGACTGTAGGTAAAACTGGTGGGCTGCTAGACAAATGTCCTGGACACTCTATCATAAAGCATCCTAGAAATAATATTAAATCAGAGTGTGATTATGCTTTACTGGAGGTGGATACTGTGGAGACTGATCAATATATTATTTTTCAAACTGAGACCAACCCTGAAATGCCAATTTATTAGCCTTAAAAAAAAAAGCATAATCACATTTCCCTAACACTTAAGTCAAGTGTAGTTACTTTTTTACTTGTTTATGTCTTGTCTGACTCTATTCACGTCATCTGGTTACTTTGTTTGTGGCACTCAAACATTTGTTTGCAAAGTGCCCTGTGGTGGACAAGCTATGCAGCATCAACACTCATGGCTGAGCGTTCTTTCTCTCTTCTCTATAAATCATTCTTAACGTCGTTACCGATAGATCAGCGAGTTGTTAATATTGGCTGAGAAAATTGACCCAACAATGAATTTGCTGGGCTCTATCTCTGTCAAGTGGCGTACTGTGGTCATGTCAAATATGTAAATTTTCTGCTTTGCATGAGGCAAGGGGCTCCCAGATTACGTAAAATGCTGTAAAGGAGATTATTTAAAAAGTAGTAGTGTCTTAGCAGATTTGTTTCGTTTACAAAACTATCACTAGATCACCAAGAGACATCTGTATCATTGTTGTTTTACTTTCAGAGGCATCCCCCAGTCCTGTTAAGACCTCCCCAGAAGCATCTCCTATGACCTCCCCACGACAGCGCCGTGACTCAGACCGCTACTGCCAGCTATGCAACGCCTGGTTCAACAACCCTGGCATGGCTCAGCAACATTATGATGGCAAAAAGCACAAGAAGAACGCTGCCAGAGCAGATCTCCTGGAGCAGCTGGGAAAGACCCTGGACATGGGAGTGATGAAAGGTAATATGAATACATTTTCAGTACATCAGTTCATTTTCAAACTATGTTCATGCATTTGTGAAGGTGCATTATCAGATACAGTTTATAAACGAAGTTCAAAAAAAGTTTTCCAGCCTTTTTAAGGGTAAAAAATTCTTATACTGAATACTGTACAATCTTATTGTACAGTATATACAGTATATACAGTTCTAATTTCTTTTGAGGTGACACATACCACCACTCACAATAAAAAAATCACAATGAAATAACTGTAAGCCAATAGCAGAGTTGCATTACTGTGAAAGGTAATTTCACAATTTGCATTATTACATTATCAAACAATATAACTATGTATCAGCCGATAGCAAGTCAGCACATTTAGCCATTTAGTTCAAACTGAGCCTCTGAATAGCGATGACAGGGACTGGCTTTGGCTGCGGTGCCAGATCAGCCTGCCTTACAATTTCAAAAACTGCTGGGGTTTCCCTGCATAACCATGACCAGTAATCAGCAGGTCTCTGGCTGAAAATGGCTTTTTGATGCCACAGATCAGAAAGACAAGACTAAGTCAAATAATCACAACCAAAGTAAGCAGAAGAGCATCTTCGAACGCACAACCTAACAAAGCTTGAACTAGAACTGCTACAGCAGCAGAACAACAATTCCAGCTTTCAGTCCTATCTGTGAAGGGAATAGAAGATTGAGAAAACTTAGCCTAGTTTGATGAAATCTTTAGTTTTGCTGTGAAATTTGGATGGTAGGGTCAAAATTAAATGTAAAAAGCATGAAAACAATGACCCATCCAGCTTTGTATCAAAGGTTCAGGCTGCTGGTGGTGGGTGTGTAGTGTTGTGGGGCATATTTTCTTATCATGGTTTGTGCCCCTCAATACCAGCTAAGCACCATCTAAATACCACGGCCTATGTAAGCATTGGTGCTGCCCACATCCATCTTTTATCACCACAGTGAACTCATCTTCCTATGACTGAATCCAGCATGTAATAAAGCTCAAACTGGTTTCTTGGACGTGTGTTTCACTGCAAAATAAATGACTTCACTAAGATCTGGTGACTGATCTCAATCCGATAGAACACCTTTGTGATACGGTGAAACAGGAGATTGTGCCATATTGACTGTCATGTCAATACGGACCATAGTTTCTGAGGAATTTTTTCAGCACCTTCTCAAATCTGTGCCACAAAGACTTTTGGTAGTTATGAAAGCAAAAATGGGATCCAACTAGGTAGGGATAAGTAATGTCTCGTTTAACGCTGCAGGTAATAAATGTGACTTGCATAGCTTAATATTGATGAGCAACAGAGAGCAGTATTACATTTGTTAATAGCTGTGACTATTTCTAAGCCCTGCTCTGTGGAGCTGAAAAGTAACCCTCTTGACTTCAGCTGTCAGCTTGACTCTTCATGGAGCCCACCAGCATGTCACAAGCTGTTAATTTTACAGAGGAGGAGGGGAGAACTTTCTTGCTTATCATTTCCCAGTTACAATATGTCAATAACAATTACACAATATTATTCCAGCTGGCAGAGTGCTGGCTGCCAGAAGAGCACACGGAGCCCAGAGGTGTTGTAAAGGGCAGCAGAGTGTGACTGCACCAAATGGGAGAAACAAGTCTTCACAGCTGATTGGCCATGGACCTTCTAACTCAGAGCCTGATTGGCTACTTTTGCTAGTTGAGGGCAAACTGGTTGGTTCAGCTTTGTTCAGCTTTGTTATGCTGCCCAAGCTTTTGAGTCCACGATGTTTGTTTCAGGAACATTATACATGGTGTGTTTGACTGCCGATGTTTGCCACTTCAGTTACCAGTACTGCATTTAAACCTATAAACAGGGACATAAATACACTTATGATTCAAAGAATAAATTCACCATTGTTTTGGACAATAAGCAGATAATAACAGTATTAACATAGATATTGTGCTGTAATGTGTGTTGGTGGGGATGGTGGTTCTGTACTCTGTGGGTTACATTTTGGCTTGGGGGAGATTGGGCCATATTAAAATTAGTAGGTTTACAGTTTATTTTGAGAATCTTTTACCAGGTGACATTGAATGGTGACCAGTGGCTGGGAGAGTGGCTAAGGGGGTAGAGCAGGTCATCTACTTATCAAAAGGCTGGTGGTTTGATCTCTTGCTGCTCCAGTCTGCATGCTACGATATCCTTTGGCAAGATACTACCCCATTGTGTTCACTGGAGTGTGAAATTTAGAAAGTGCTTGTATGAATGGGTGAATGAGACATGCTGTATAAAGTGCTTGACTGGATATATCAGTATGTATATAAGAACCTGTGCATTAAGGATACATGAGCTAAACTGACTGGTTTCAGACTATGAATATACTAAGAGGCTGCATAAAGCCTTTATTAACTCTACAGGGGAGACACAGAATAAATAAAGGGCTGGAAATGAGCATTTTTTAGCTCTTTTCTAAATAAGTATTTTTGGTATACAAAGAGATGTTTTCACACCTTTGTATAAATTGGTGAGGTTCAAGTCAAAGATTCCTTGGTTTCCTTTACACGGGGTGTGAAATAAAGCATCAGCATTGGTTACTGGCCATTTTTGAAACAATAATTCAGTCCAAAGTTTTGCATCACAGGATGTTTGAAAAGTATGACTAAGGTTTCTAAAGCGACTGAAAAGGAAAGATTTCTAAATTTATTTATTTATTTAGGACAGTGCATGTTAATGAACATAAATGTAAAAAAAAAAAATTACATGAATGTAAACATACCAGATTATAGCCAAGGGCTAATTTCCATCTGTTGTCCTTAAGCATAAAAATAGACATAATAATTCATAAAAATTCATCATTCATTCATAATAAAAACTCCATCATCAAACTTACACATACACACCATTCTGTTCCCAAATAAAACATTAAAACTATACAACTTATACATGATCACACACTTGATTTGTCCATAACCAGTTTTATGAAGACGTAGTTTGTTAACGGGTTCAGTGTTTTGCAAATGAATTAAAGAATGCACTGCTTCTACAATCTTCTTATAACAAGTGTTGATCTCAATGAATAATTCATTAGAGATTTGCATGTAAAAATGAAAAACAGTTTAATCCCTTTATATCTTTACCTTCATCTGTTCTGCACGGCGCCTGTTTTTACAGTGCATTAAGAGGAGATGAATTTGCCGGCTTCAACAGAGTCATTATGGAGCGACAGAAAATGTCAGCACACTAGCTGTACTATTCAGCACTTGGAATAATGAGCATTACTCTCTGGCGATTATCAATTAGTAATGAAGTGGCAAATTGTCCTATCAGGCAAAACCAGCAGTGTGAGCCCACAGAGAGGAGAATGGGACCGCAGCAGGCCTTGCAGGCGGTCGGGATGCTGCTGCTTCTTTCTGCTTCCTCTCTGCATTTTATCCTTTCATCTTTCCCCCTTTTTTCCTCCCCTCTACCTGACCTTGTGCACTTCTCAACCTGCTAAGAAAATGTGCAGTCTGACTCTGAAGATTGTCCTGTGATGAAATATTCAAAAGCTCATCCAGTGGTCTTGTTTGTTGTTGTTGTTGTGTGTACAGAGCTGTGCAGCATTGAAAAGCTGATGGCAAAGACATAAGGTTGAAGATGGATAAAGAGATGGGCAAGCCATTAGCACTTTTAGCACAAGTGTAGAGACCCTCCAGATGTGTCTAACCTCATGATAAAAGCCTTTGTTTTATAAGTGGTGTACATACAAAAGAGTGCAGGTTAACCGCATGAGCATAGTGTAAAACCGAGGTCCCTGCTCACATGTCCTCTTTGGCTTAGTTGATTTAAGTTGTTTCGGTAAAACTCCATCTTTGCGCTCTAATAGTCTACTTGATCCTCTGGTCTTTTGTCTGGTGCTCATTCTGTTTAAAGCTAACAGGGAGTAGTATTGAGATGGTGATATAACTGTGAGGACTGTAATGTTTGCATAAATGTAAATGGGATGGAAAATGAATTTGTGGTTGATAGTCCATTAAGACACTAATGGGAACAGATTGTGTAAGCACTTTTGCCCAGTTATCGCTGCAGCAAGTTTAAAACAGATGATCTCTTTTTTCCAGGTTTGTTTTCTTCTTCTTTTTTTATTAAAGTAAAGATGTGTTGGATTTTTTCTCAGAAATAGCTAAACTTGTATTTGTGGTGAACTTTCTTATTTGTGCTGAACTCTCCCCATTCCAGCACTGCTGCTCAGGAATCATGTGTTTACTCTTGTCAGTGTTTACAGACTGTGCCTGTAACTGTGTGGAAATCTATCCATCCATGTTCATGACTGGTTATCGAAGCCACAGTTTCGGGAAATCACTTTCCCAGCTGTCATAAGGTGAGAGGCAGGGTGCACCGAGGGCAGGCCGTCAGTCTATCTTAATGTTTCAGTTTAAATATAGATTAGATAAACTAAAAAAATAAAATCTTTCAAAAATGCCCCCTTTTATGACTTTTACATCAGAACACATCAAATCAACAGATGACTGCTTTTAAGCTTTCTTTTACTTTCTTGTACTGGCACATAATGGACTTCATGAGAGAGACTGAAATAACACACATGCTATAGACTCCTTTGTTGTCCCACATTCAGTGTTCATAGAGTGGCTAATCGAAACATGAGCTGCATCCCAGGTTTAGTGACTGACAACCAGACAATGTGAAGAGAGAGACAGCAAACAGCTTGGTTCATCTGACCACCAGCCAGCAGTTCATGTAACTATCTAAGTGCCTGCCAAATGCTTTTTATAGTACTCATAAGACACCTGCTGTCACAGAGATGTGAGCATCAGCAAAGGTAGAAGTCACGGTAAGTGGTAAAGCTCTGTTATATGAGATAAGCATCACCTTTGCGTTGAAGTGGCGTTATACAAGTTTGATCTAATTTAGAACCATTTGCCATCATCATCACAGAGTTGTAAACACTGCCTGCGTGCTGTCATTTTCCTTTATTTATCATGCCCATTTGGGCGATGTACTTTAGCTAATGTGATTTCCAACACCAGCAGACATAAGATACAGTTT